TAGATGATGATAAATGACATAGTTATGTATAATATATTACATTTCTGACTGTATATCCCTGTAATTATTACACACTGTAGCTTTAAGCCTTATATTGATTATTATATTAATGTAAACAAATAAATCAAAAATTCATGGTAAATGTGTTTTTTCATGATATATTTCTATCACTCAAAAATCACATCATAATGATTTAAAAACCATTTTACGACCCCCACTTTGTACCTCCTGTCCTCCTGAGGGCTCCCGACCCCCAGTCTGGGAACACCTGTTCTACATTTTCAGTGTGTTTGTTGTTTTTTCCTAAAAAAAAAACTAATGTGCACAATCAGACACATGAACAGAAAATGCATAACAAGTAATGACTGATATGAGCGTAATGTGAGCTAAATTGCAAATAAATACTAAAATGATCATAAATGACACAATAATAACTCAGCAAATTGATATTCTTCCATTATTATTTCACTTTGCAGAATGTTTAATAAAGGCCTTTAGTTAAAATGAGACCATTTTCCTACAATAATTAAATGGTTTAAGCTTAACGGAGTTAAATATCTTTTAATCATGATGATGGGGCGTAATTTTATTTTTCCCCATACTGTTTTGGCATCTTTTCAAATAAAATCATATTTTAAAATGTCCTTGCATAAGTTTACAGCTAAACCAAAAAGACAATATCATTGGAAGCAGACTAATAAATCTGACATTAAAGGAGATAAAAGTGTTGAAGTGATTTACCACGGCTTGGAGTTCTCAGTCACTTAAACCGTAAATCATTACTTTTTTCTTATTATTACTTAGACTACACTCTTTCAAGGACCTTTTTTCTCCCAAAAGGCTTTTTTTATGTCTCTTCTCCTGCAGGGGTTCAAATGATCAATCACAGCTGTTTACTCTGTTTTTGGACATGTGTGTCCACAGACAGGCACATTCTTCAAAGTCTCAGTCTGCAGGGAGGCGAATGTGGAAAAATATGTAGGTTCCAGGATTTTTCAACCGGTTCAGTCCGATTTCTGGAGATGTTAGAATATAAATTATTTATTTTTTTTATTTTACACACACTCTTATGAAGAGGAAGTCAAATTAAATCCAATCTTTTAAGCGTTGTTTGTTTATTCATTCATGTTATCAATCTGCAAATAGCTAGTTTAGCCATTTTGATATAGATAGTGTCACATTAAAAGTGTATCTACTATTATTTAGAGCCTCTTGATGTGTTTTTTGTGCTTTTATTTAATTGATTTTCAAAAGGTAACTTGACTTACTTAGTAAAGTCAACTATTTGAGCACATCAAACTTCAACACATAAAAACAACAAAAGTATTTTTTTTGCCAAATTAGAAAGGTAAATCACCTAAAGACGCCTTTCTTTCTCTAATATATAAAGAAAATGATATTGCAAAAATAATATGTATTTTTTATACAGGCAGAACAAATAGATGCAGTCACTGTGCATTTTCATAAGGAACATGCAAAAAAGAAATGTTTAAAACCTTAAATAAACATAAAGCAGATGAAGAACACAGTTGTCACAAAAAAAAAGGCTCTTGCACTGATGGCTGATGCACTGTCCTGTATCAACCTGTGCTAAAAAAAAAAAAAAAAAACTTGAACACATTGTGCTCTTGTTGAAAGCTTAGTCCCAAAGTGCTTCAAATAATATGTAGTCCTGTCTTCTGCTATTCATGGATCAAAAATATGTGTCTTAACAGAAATGTTTGATGTGAAAAACTAGAAAAAGTGAAAAATAAAGGTTTGCAAGAAGCCTGAAGAACCTGCCAATCAAA